AAGGTAGGCCTTGTACAGAGAAAGGAGCATGACGTGCTCAGTGATAGAAACATGAGCCTATGGCGTTCATTCCCCCCCCACACACACACACAGGATGGCATACTCACAATTGTGTGGCGCTCACACCCCCTCAGAGATGGTCACTTGGTCTCAGCCCCTGGTGCTGCAGAGCCAGTCACAGACAGGAGGGCCACCTTACACCAAGATAGCCCAGAAGTTTGAGGGCAGGTTCTACATTGGCACAGAGGGACAATGACGGACACCCAGATGCCCAGGTTTGACAGTCTGTGGGCAGCCTGGGCACACCTTAATGACCAGGCAGGCGGCAGCCTTTGTTCCTTCTCAGCTTCCTCCCCTGGGGACCAGTAGAGAAGCACTGGCCACATTCTGATTGGAGGCAAGGGGCAGCGGGGCAGCAGGAGGCCCCACCCAGAGGTGACTTCAAGGAGCGAGGGGTTGTAATGAAACGCAGGAAGACTGGAGGTCTGCACGCCACTCAGACTTTACACACGCGGGCTGCAGGAGGGAGGATGCGCTCCAGGAACGCTGGCAGAGGCTTTGAAGCTTCACCCATCCCATCCTCACAGTGTACAGTTCTCAATTCACAGGCTTGGAAGGGCCAAGGTCTCCCCCACGGTCCTGGTTCTAGAAGTTCCAGGCTTAACCACTGCACCAGATCCATCCTGCCACCCCGGGAGGGGGGAGGGCAGGGGTTGTGGGAAAGAATGTTTGTGTGTTTGTGTCCCCAGCATTTATATGCTAAGATCCTAGCCCACAATTGCAGGGGAGATGCTAGCCTTTGGGAGGCGATTAATCTTTTGGAGATTAATGCTTTTATAAAAGAGGCCTCAGAGAGAGACCCTCGCCTCTCTCACCATGGAAGGACTTGGCCAGGACATGGTGCTTTACCGGATGGACGGACTCCTTGGTTTTGGACTCCTGGCCTCCAGAACGCTGAGGAATAAGCGTGTTCTGTTTATGAGCTGACCAGTCAGGTATTCTCCTACAGCTGAGTAGGAGAGCAGGGTTCCCAGCACAGCCTCTGGCCCAGGCAAGCGTGAGTCCAAAGGGAAAGGACACTTGCCAGCTGTGGACCTCTGGATGGCTCGGTTCCTACGTGGCTGCTGAGCATCCGGGTCAAGTGAGATGAGGCACGGGGCCAAGACGGTTGTCCTAGTTAGGTTTCCGTTGCTGTGACAAACGCCATGATCAAAAGCACATTGAGGAGGGATGGGTTTATTTCAGCTCACAGCTTCCAGTCCATCATGAAGGGAAGACAGGGCAAGAGCCCAGTGCGGAGACCTGGAGGCAGGAACGGAAGGAGAGGCCATGGAGGAGCGCTGCTTACTGGCCTGCTCAGTGTGCCTGCTTGCTTCGATGGTTGGTTGGTTTGTTTTTGTTTCTTTTTTAATGTGGTTGAGTGTTCTGCCTACATGCATGTGTGTGTAGCATGTGCATGCCTAGTGCCAGAGGAGGTCAGAGGGGGCGCTAGATCCCGTGGAACTGGAGTTGCAGGCAGTCCTAAGCCGCTATGTGGGTGCTGGAAACTGGACCCGGGTCCTCTGCAAGATCAACAGGTGCTCTTAACCACTGAGCTTTCTCCCCAGGCCCCAGTTTTCTTTCTTATAATACCCCAGGGCCACCCGCTCAGGGATGGCACTGCCTACAGTGGGCTGCCCCCTTCCACGTCAATCACCAATCAAGAAAATGCTCCACAGGCCTCCCTGCAGGCCAGTCTGATGGGAGCATTTCCTCGCGTGAGGTTATCTCAGATGACTCCAGCTCGTGTCAAGTTGTTGACACAAAACTAACCCACAGCCGGGCGGTGGTGGCGCACGCCTTTAATCCCAGCACTCGGGAGGCAGAGCCAGGTGGATCTCTGTGAGTTCTAGGCCAGCCTGGGCTACCAAGTGAGCTCCAGGAAAGGCACAAAGCTACACAGAGAAACCCTGTCTCGAAAAACAAAACAAACAAACAAAAAAAAGACTAACCCACACAAGTAAAAGGCTGTGCTCAGGGCTGAGTCCCATGCTGGGGCACTGGATGGAGACCCTGAGGGCAGAGGGTAGCGTGCAGGAATCCTCTCTGTTGGAGAGTGCCCCAACTTGTAGGCTGAGGAAGAGTCCACCGTGGACAATGGGTGGAAAGAAGTATGATCCAGACTCCCAGGCCTGTCGTACACAGAGAAGTGAGAAAAATGACTGGTTACAGGGACTCAGGACTCAGCTCACCACAGGGGAGAAGTCAGAAGTCTGAGGTGAGCTGTCAGGGCGCCCTGAAAGGGCATGAAAGCCCAGCAGAGGACTTTGAACAGAGGATGATGTGTGTGTGTGTGTGTGGGGGGGGGTGGTTGATTAGCATTCTAGAAAGATCTGGTAGAGTGGTGGGTGGGGGTGCAGGCCAGTGAGAAGTCTGTGGAGAGCAGAGGAGATGCTGAGCCGGGGCAGTGATGTCTTTCTTTGAAGTCACTCAGGGTGTGAAGCTCCACTGTGACAGTGCCTGTGGGTGTGAGGCAGGGGAGTTGAGGCAGTGTCCCTGTTTTGGCCTTGGTGGGTCGGTTGTGCCCTGACCTGGTGGGAAATGCCACAGGACAAGCTAAGGATGGGGATGGTTGGCGTTTCAGTATGGAAGCTGTTGAGCTGGGGGAACTGTGGAGGTTCCCAGGGATGTGGAGTGACAGAGAAGGCAGACACAGACAGTCGTGCCGGAGACGAGCGTGTCAGAGGTGGGTGAGGAGTCCCAAGTCACCACAGTGACAGGCTTCCTGTGACGGCTCGTAGGTGTCCCAGTGTGCCCTCACCGGCCCTCACCGGCCCTCACCGGCCCTCACCGGCCCTCACCGGCCCTCACCGGCTGCTGTTCACTCTTCGCTCTGTCTGCGCCCGTGGCCCTCCTGCCCCGGGCTTTGGGGCCAGGCACAGGTTAGAAAGGCCAGGCACATGCTGCCTGTGAAGCCACCTGAAGCAGAGCTGGGAGCTAAGCTATGCTTCAGCTCCTCAGGTCAGTGAGTTGAGGACGTTGTCTGTGCTGGCCAGCCTAGGCTGGGCCCTTCTGCTCGCCAGCACTCCGTGAGTTACTCTCTTCCCCATCCTGTCCCCCGTCCACCTCTGCACTCCTGGGGTTACCTGCCAAACAGACTGCTCATTCTAGGGTCTTCTTGTGGTAGAACTTACCCCGAGACCCTGACACAATCGTGGAACATCGACTCCATCCCCGTCAACTGTGGAACCAACTGTATGCTGTACTGCCTGAGAGGTGTGTGCATGTGATCCACCTGAGCACCCCATGCCCTGCCCCTCACCCATAAACATTATTATTATTATTATTATTATTATTATTATTATTATTATTATTATTGAGACAGAGTTTCTCTGTGTAGCCCTGGTTGTCTTGGAACTCCTCTGTAGAATTCACAGGTCCGCCTGCTTCTGTCTCCTGAGTGCTGGGATTAAAGGCGTGTGCCGCACCGCCCGCCCGGCTCCCTCCATTCATATAGTGCTTGATGAAAGCTTTACCTCTCAGCCTGCCCAGGACTTTCCTTTCTTTTCCATCCAGTTCCATGGATAAGCCGGCCTCAGTCTGACCCTTCCTGATGCCCTCTGCTGAACACCTTCCAGGTGGCCTCCTCTGCCAGCAGCCGAGGGCTCCCTGGGGACGGCCTGACAAAAGGATGGGCCAGAGGCGACATGTGCTCTGGCAGATGGACAGCTGGGTTCCTCTTGGGTAGATGAAAAGCATACTTGTTGTGGTGTGGTGAGCCAGGCTGGTAAGACAGCCATCCCCGGTCTCAGATAATCCTACTGAAGAGTAGCAGGCTGCAGCTACCTCTTTCTGTGGAGGAAGCTGAGCCTCAGAGAGAAGGCTCACTTTCATAGACCCCTCAGCTAGGCAGTGGGACAGCCAGCACTGACTTCAGTACACCGGAAACCAGAGCCCAGGCCCTGCCCTTACTGCGAAGGTAACATATGTCCCATTTCCTTCCAGTGCCCCAGGCCAAGTACAGGCTCTGTTCCCCCCCCACACACACACACACAGATTAGAAATGCATGGTGGAGGGACTGGGGAGATGTGGAAAAGTGCTTTACACACACACACACACACATACACACACACACACATACACGGACCTGAGTTCGATCCCTAGCACTCATAAAAACCAGACATAGTATGGTATCAAGTATTTGTTATTTCATCATGGGGAGGGGGTGGCCGGGTGGCAGCTGGATCCCCGGGGCTCACTGGGGAATTCTAGATTCAATAAGAGACCCTGTTTCAAAAATCAAGGTGGATAGCTCCTGGGGAATAGCACTCAAGGGTGATCTCTGGCCTCCACCCATGCATGCCTCTGTGTGTGTGTATGTGTGTGTGTGTGTGTGTGTGTGTGTGTGTGTGTGTGTGTGTGTGGTGTGTGTGTGGTGTGTGTGTGAGAGAGAGAGACATGAGCAAGCACACCAGAAAGAGAAAAACTTAGAAAAGACCACGTGGTGGGCTGAATCAAAAGGAAAAATCCCCAGAAGAAAAAACAATCCCATTTTCTGCTGGACACAGGACTCTTGGGGTCACTTCTGCAGACTCAGCCCCCGGCACGGGGCCTGGGTCCAGGGATGTGGCAATGAGGCCGAGTGGATGAGCGAAGGCACATGTACCGTTCTGGCCACACTACAGACCGTGGCCGGTGGCTGCTGCATTAGAAGGACTCAGCAGAAATCGGAAGTGCCAATTCTGCTGCTCCAGACGCAGTCTTCCTTGAGAAAGACTCCGCTCATCAGCTGCCCACCAGCTCCTTCTCCCTCCCTCTGAGCCGACTTTTCACATCGGAAGGAAGCGTGTCCCATCTGTCCCACAAACATTAGACTCCTTTCGGCTCCCTGTGGAGGTGGGGGGTGGAGAAAGACAGGAGCATGCACCTGTCATGTGCTTCAGCACGTTCTGAGTGCTTACTGCATACAGTAGCACACGTGATCTCATTCCTTTTTTCCCAGTAGCCCCTGAGGCCGGCCTGAATGGTTGTGCCGGTTGCTCAGAAGGCCAAGCCCCACAAGAGTGCAATGACTTCTTTAACATCACCTGACTGGCTGGAGGTTGAGCTGGGATGGACCCAGATCCGCCTGGCCCTGGAATTGAGGCCCCTTGTCCACTACCCTGTCTCCTTCCCGATGCAGGGTGGCCATTGCAGCTCACAGTACGTGTCAACCTGGTGACACCAGATCCGTCAGTCACCTCAGTGAGGAGTGAGAAGCACCTGGGATCGGCTTACTAATTCAAGGGCCCGATGAATTATTCACACCACCATTGACTTGGGGGCCCTTCCAACCTCACCTCTCTTTCCCCTCTCGGACCCTTGGATCCTGACCCCTGAACTCCGCCTTGGTGGGGGACCCCCAGTGAGGAGATGCTGGCTGAGCTGGGGGCTTGCTTATTGCTGGCCATGGTACTGCTGGACTCAGGTCCTGGGACCCAAGCCACGGAAGGTAGGTGATCCAGCAACCCGCAACCCAACCGAGAGGATGGGAGGGGAGTGCGGAGGACCCAGGGCCCCAAGAAGCCCCAGCCAGGAAGTGGAGTGTGTGCTTGCTCCTGAGAAGTGAAGGACAGCATTGAGTGAGCGCCTGCTGTTTGCTTCACATGCATAAGAACATTTCATCTTCAGAACAAAGTCCTAGGTGAGGACTGGCCCTTTGTTCCAGATGAAGGAACTCAGGGCTCAGGGGCAGGCACAGGGCCACCCAGTTGCTGTGGGGGAAGGGAAGAGCTCAGAAGTGTGGAAGGCTCCTGGTGGGGAGGCCCCTCTGTTCCCGGTGCCTGCCTCACTTCCCGCTGCAGCCAGTGGTGCCAGATTCCTCACTGTGCCATTCGGTGTCCCTGGGGGGCTAGCTCTGTGTCCTTGCTGGGAACCACACTCCTTCTGAGAATGCCTTCCCCGGGGGATCTCACGCCCCACTGTCCCCATGCCTGGGAAGAAGTTCTTCCTGGAAGAATCTCTTAGAAGGATCCTGTTTCTCTTTGAAATACTTTTCTCAATGACATGTATTTATTGTGTGTGTAGGGGGTGAGTGCACGTGGGTGTGCTGCATCCCACATGTAGAGGTCAGAGGTCAAGCTGGGGGAGTTGGTTCTCTCCTTCCTTCCACCATGTGTGTGTGGGGATCAAGTTCAGGTGGCCAGGCTTGGTGGCCAGAGCGTTTATCCTGAACCATCTAGCCAGTCCGCTTTTCTCTTGTGTACACCCTTAAGTCGCGTCCCTTCCTCCACGGAGCCCTCCTCCTCCTCTGGTGGGCTCAGATGCTCCCTCCCCAGGTTCCCAGAGCTCCTGCAGCCCAGGCTGTGAGTCTGTGATTTGTGTGAGTCTGCTCCTCCAGGTGTTGTGTGAGAAGATTGGGGATTCATTTCACCATTCTGCCGTGGGTGCGTTGGCTGGGGGCTGGGGGCTCAGCAAGCAGCCCCCCATAACTCGTCTTCCTCAAGCTCCACTAGGGGCCAAGAGGGAAGAGGTGGCCCCAATGCTGGCAGAAATGGGGGGAGCACCTCGGGTCTCAGCCGTGCCTGGGGAATAGGACACGTGTGTTGCTGTTTATTAACCTCGAGGGCTTGGATGGCCTCAGCATGACTAACTGAGGGTTAGGGTGCCCGGCTGGATCCTGATGGGCGAGACTTCCATTTGTGCTGGTGCTCAGGGCCACCGCGGCCACAGCAGTTCCACTCTGACAGTTGTGTGGTTTTTTTCCTGTCCTATACTCAACCCTGGGAGAAGGACAAGAGTGGACACTGGAAGAGAGGTCCTTCCATCTTCTCGCCATACCAGCCTGCCCAGGCAGGGACAAATCATGTGACCTATCCCCTGCATGGCCCCTCAAT